TTTTTTTTTATTATGCATTGCATTGTGTTTTAGGGTTTAGGAAATATCTGTAAGTTTAACAGAAAATTACCAGTGCATTTTTTTACAGATTTTTTTTCTTGCAGTGTGCTTTGCTATAGCTGAAACACTCACTTTGCAGCCCTCACAGGTAATGCAGCGGTAATGATAACCAGTCGCTTTGTCCCCACACACAACACACAGCTCATCCTTGTCCAGGTAACTTGGTATGTACCCTATAAGAAGTTACAGGTACAGTCAGAAACACATTACAATAAAATAAGCAAATTTAACCTGAAAATATCTGCATGAGAACAGATAAAATAGTTTGTAAAGTTTTAAAACTACACAAACTCAAGATACTCTAAATTTACCACCAAACAGGAAAATGAATAATATAATTGAATAATATTCAATTATAACAGCTACATTTAGAAAGTGTGAATAAAACTAAGAGTCTGTGCAAATAAAGAAAAGTATAGGAGAAAATAGAGCAATGTGAGAAAGACGAGAACTAAAAAATAGAGGAATAAATATAATTGTAGCTGAATGCTTTTATATTGGGACAGAAACACAAGGAAATACACGTTTTAAGGCACACATAAGTTTAGGCAGCTTGCAGCAAATCAATCTGATCAATGAGTCTTTGGGGGAGGTCAGAGGGAGGACATGAGCTCAAACCTTCTGTTCCTCTGTCTGTGTCCTTACAAATCAATACAACACACAATACCCCAAACCTCCATCCTACACTGAAGATCAATACAATACACAATGTAGCTCCACGAGTAGGTCTTTAAAAGAGCACAGTCTCTTCAAGTTCAGTCCAGAAGACAGTAGCTTCACTATACTGTAATACAAGCTTTTCCAATACTTACTAACAGTGTTGGGGGTAACACATTACAAGTAACACGAGTTACGAAACCAGATTACTATTTTCAAGTTACTAGTAAAGAAACACATTCACAAGAAAATATTATCGAGCTACTATTTCAAATAAGTTTTGCCTTTGTTTTCTCATGTATTGACTGACACATGGCTCTCCTGTCCACATGTTGAGAGAAATCGGGAGTTAGTGCAGAGGCCTTAGACTAGATCTAGACTAAATGTGAACATGCATTTACTCATCTCAAGCACACACAAACAGATTCAGTATTCCTCTAAATAAATAGAAACAGTGAAATGCTAACTCTGAATGTGACGCAAAC